AGGAGCTGTAAGTGAACTGACTTTTTTCCACTTAGTTCTGACAATTTTTTCAGGCTATGCCAATCTCTAACAGGTCCTTTAGCTCATTTAGCAGTTTTGAACTTTCAAAGTGCATCTTTGAATGCCATAAACTTTAAAAATAGCAGTGCAAAATTAACAGCCTAACCAGATAAAGGCAGTCCTTCCTCTTATAAGCAGGCAGTCCTTCCTCTTGTTAAGCAGGCAAGAAAAATAAAATATGGTGGGCTGCTTCACTCTGGCTCATGGGTTTGGCTGGTTGCTGAATTCCAAGCTCTGCACATCTTCTAAGTCAGGGGTCCCTAAATTTGGCAGCTTTAAGACTTGTGGACTTCAACTCAGCATAGCTGGCTGGAGAATTATGGGAGTTGAAGTCCACAAGTCTTAAAGTCGCCAAGTTTGGAGACCTCTGTTCTAAGTCCATGCATGCTGCTTGTTGATATGTTTCCATTTTTTATGGCAAACCTAGCTTTTTAAAGATAAAAAAATGCTAGGAATACTAATATTTACAAAGGAGATGAACACCATCACTGCAGTCCCTTTTTTCCAGAACCTCAAGGTATGTTGCTACAACTGCAGTTCCTGCTATTTTAATACCTGTTTCGCAATCAAATGAAGCTAATTATAAGCTGTTTGGTTTTTTGTAGGTGTTTTATTTTGGCAGAAGCTATAAAAGAACCAGCAGCTTTGGTACTGTTTTCCTCATTAGTTTTTCTTCAGAAACAACATCATGGATTTCCACATGCAAATTATATTAACTGAGCAAATAAATGGCAGAATTCACATAATATATACCCACAAAGCAATGCTAAGAAATATTGTGTTGAACAGGTTCAACAGGGCAACTTTAGATTCTCTTGTTCCATCTGATTTTACTTTTTAAAGATGTTTTCAATTCAAAACAATAAACGTGGCATACAGTATTTCCAAGGAAATATCTAAAAGTCACCTAGACTCCAGGGGTATTCTTTTTTTGGGGGAAATGCAGTAAAGTTACATATTGCGTTTGCTTGGAATTATGCCTAATTACCTGCCCCCCCCCAAAAAACATAGCAGGCCTGGGGTAGTGGACAGCATCTTAGAAAGGACAGGAAGCAAAGTGATTTATTAGATTTATACTCCACCTTTATTTAGTACAAATCAATTTGCCTTCTACTACATGAGTATTTTATCACTGGATAAGTTCACCAAGGCAGTATTTTGTGCCTACAGTCTTTGAGTTATGTCTTCTAACCAGTGGTGGGATTCAATTTTTTTTACTACCAGTTCTGTGGGCATGGGTTGGTGGGCACGGCAGGGGAAGGAAACTGTAAAATCTCCAGTCAGAAGTGGTATTTGCCGGTTCTCCGAACTACTCAAAATTTCCGCTACCGGTTCTCCAGAACTGGTCAGAACCTGCTGAATACCACCTCTGCTTCCAACCCTCAAAGGCTAGAGATATCTAATTTAGAATATCTAAATCTCCTAGCCATTAGCTCTTAATTTTTGCACTGTGTTTTACATTTTATTTTAAAAAGCAAGTATACCCTTTTCAAGCTATAATTACAATGTATAGCTTACTCATTAGTTGAAGCAATTTATTGCTTATTCATTTCACCATTTAACCATAAAATTCAAACAAAATTGTATTTTCTATTTGAGACATAAAAATGAAACATTTTACCACATTATGATATTCAAAATCAATCACTATATCCATAAAAATAAACTCAATCTGCCTTGAGGTTAACAATGCTAAAATACCAGTATATAATTATGTTTTTTCTTAAATTTAGCATATTTGCCTTGGCTCAATTTTTGATGTCTATCTGTACCTCCTTATGCAATTATCTTTTTTTTTTATTATGTACATTTACTTTTTACTCCCAGGCAAATAAATATCTCTTAAAGAAGTTTGGGTTTGGTTTATTATTCTCCTCCCTCGTTACACTTGCTTTTGCAATAAAATGAAACACCAGGATAATATTACTGTAACAACCACCAAATGAATACTGTACCTGGCATAGTGCAGATTTCATTTTAGAATAGGTTAATTGTTCTTTAAATTTTTAATATACAGTTTAGAGTTGTAATACAAAACAGCGCCTAAAAAAACCCATTCTTACTAGAGTTAACTTTTAAACCATTTGGTTTGGTTGGCTGATAAATAATTTATGACTTAATTTATATGTTTTTCTTGCCCTGTTCCCATTCTTTTTCTTTTTTATATTAAATGTATGTAGGCCTAAGGGGAAAAAGACATAATTAAGACTTTTTAATCTTTGTGCTATTGTAGACTGATTATACCTGACATCAGTGCAATCAAGCGGGTTCAGAAGTACTTCACAAGAAAAGTCTTGCATTCTTCTATACACAATAGAATTCCTTATGCTACTAGGCTCAACATTCTCAGTTTGGATACTTAAAACTGTTTCACTTGTTGTCAGACCTAGGTATTGCATATATGTAGTAATTTTTTACCTGTAAATGACTTTTTCTGTTTTAATCACAATAATACGTATGTGAACAACTGTTTAAACTCAATGTAAATCATTCTAAACTTGACTGTAAAAAAATATGATTTCTCTAATAGAATTGTCAAAGTCTGGAATGCTCTACCTGATTCAGTTGTCTCAGCTACAAATTTTCAGTTTCAGTCACAAATTGACTTCCGTGGACCTTACTTCATACTTAAGTGGTGAGTAGAGGGGGTGTGCAAAAGTGCACCAATGTGCCTATTGCCCCTGTCTTTGTATTTTTATTCTCTTATTCTTGCTCTCATTTTTGTTTGACAAATTCCAATAAATAAATAAAATAAATAAAGGCATGCATTTGTACATTATCATCCTCATTCTAGATATCAAAGAATACACTTTATCATTCTCCACACTACTACTGCTACCACCAACAATAACAAATAGCTTCCAAATAAACCCGCAACTGAACTTAATATTACACAAAACAGAGAGTCAACTTCATCTAACAGATAAGGTTCTGGAGAAGGAATGTGGAAACCAGAGTTTTAGTCCTGGCTTAGATGCGGTGGCTCAGCGGTTAAGGCACTGGGTTTGTTGGTTGGAAATCTGGCAGCCCAAGTTTGAGATCTGAGTGCCACCCATCCTTCCCCAGTTCCTGCCAACCTAGCAGTTTCAAATGCAAGTATATAAATAAGTACCACTTTGGTGGGAAGGTAACAGCGCTTCACGATGGCATGCTGGCCACATAACCGCAGAAATGTCTTTGGACAGCGTGGGCTCAGTGGCCTTGAAACAGAGATGAGCATCACTCTCTATAGTCAGCAATGATTAGTGGAGTAAAATCTGCAGGGACTTCTTTTACTTTTAGGTAGTTATACAAACTGAATAAATGAATGTGGCTCATTTCACTATTTAACTCGATGATATGTGCCAGTTACTCTCTCTTTGTCAATGGCAAACAACTTTTGCCACTACTCTCTCTTTGTCAATGGCAAAAAATGTTGCCACTAAAACCAACCTTCAAAGAAAGCCCCTACTGATTGACATAATTTCCCCTGGATTGTCTATCAGGAGCTGCTTCATTGAATTCTTGCAAGATTATAGTTATCTTCATAATGCAAAGCACATTACCCTTACTTTTAAAATGGAAGCAAACACTTTCAATCTACTCTTCACAGCCCCACCAGAGGAATAGAGAAGTGCATAAGCAAAAGGATTATTCCTGCTCATTTCTGACACATTAAGCATGAAACCATTAATTTAGAGCACCACTAAATCATAATTTGTTGCAACTTACACAATCCTATTACTTCTCCCCTGCTGGCAGGAGATGATAGGCATTTGCCTGCATTTTCAACTACTGATTACCGTAATTCATTATTCCATCTCGGTGAAACGATTCTACTAAGTTTAACTGAATTGTGTCTCATCCTGACTGGTTTCAGTAAATTTCAGTGAACTACGGTTTGATCAATAAAATCAAGATGGCAACCATGAAAAACTTAAAAAACAGGTAAAGCTTTCATTGCACCATCATGGTTGCCTTGTCTTTGTTAACCATGCTTTGTGGACTGTACTGCAGGAAACCACAGTAGAAAATAATGATAGTTTCTACCAAATTGGATATAAAAAGATCATTCTGTGTACAAGCAGAAACTAAAGCAATGTTTGTCTTATTACAAACTATTATTTGAGTATTATAATTCCTAAAACCTCAAATCAAAAGCTTAAATCAGAACTTTGTCCTAGCATTTTAGATGATATATAGTATTATAGGTGGGAGGCTCATTCAAAGTATATGGTGAATTCATTGGCCAGAAATATTTTGAATACACATTGCCATTTATATAAGAGTAGAGTTCCTTATTTCAGGTTTTTAATACTGTTTTTTTTTAAAAAGAAAATCAAGGATTTTTTCCCCAGCAGACCACATGCAAATTTCTGAAAATAGATATACATATTACATACATATACATATACATATATATACATTGTACAAACACACACACACACA